TAGATTTAATTTTCTCCTTGGTTTAGTATTGGTCGGCACTAGATGTGGTTTAACTTAAGCATGGTGTTGGACAAATCCAATATTCGTACATTTTTCTCCTTACGAGTAATCTATTACTTTCTTTTTTCTTCCTTTAACATTCTTATTTGTTAAGATTAAACATCTCTGGTACGTAGAGTAAATTATCCTCGTAAAACTTTATAATAAAATAATCAATAATAACAAAACATGTATTATAGATAATAGAATTAGACTATCCATAAATTAAACTACAACCTTTGTAAAATACTTATCATATTATAATGTGTTAAATTCAGTATTGTAACCTTTGATTGATTTTTATCACAAAGATTTTTCCAATTCAATACGCTCATGATGGGAGGATCAGAGAAAGCCACTTTAACCAAGATTTCCAACCAAAAAGAGAAAGAGAGATTTATTTATATATCTTTAATTTCTAAAAGAAGTATGTACCATCAAAAACCCATTCCTCCAAAAGCCTCAAAAGTCAAACTTTTTAACAAAGGTGGTACGCTATGTGTAGTTTAACATTAATCATTATCCAATTTCTGACTTTTGTTATAGCACAATAAATATAGATGAAAATTGAACTTTCACCTTTAAAAATAGAAGAGAACTATAATTACAGACTTAATATAATTTCATTAAAATTGGAGTCACACTATTATTTGAAGTGAAAAGACAAATTTTAACTGTGATGGGAAGGGTTGATTTATTCACAAATATTAAGTTCCATGCCAAAAGAAGATTAAAAAAGCATGTTTGACTGAAATTCAAACTATGGACAAAGTCCCCAGCATGTGCTTAACTTTTGGGCAAGTTTTTCAAGCCATCTCCACTTGTTCTCTGGATAGCAATAGCATGTATATATTATATGCTATCTTTCTTCTACAGTGTTCTTTCTTTTATTTCATTTGAATGTCATGTCAAAACAGAAGAAAAAGAAGTGAAAAAAAAATCCCACGTGGAGAAAGGAAACAAAACATTAATGGATATGGGTGAAAGAAATGAAAATTACAAGGTGGGTGGATCTGTTACATATTGATGGTAAAATATAGTGTTGATGGATTGAATGAAGTTATGAACACCTTAAAGGAATATTTCCACTTTCACTATTTGTAGTGGGTGCACATCAAATACACACTTTGGTCACCTAAAGTTCCTTTTGCCTCTTGTGGAAAGCAGACCAATTAATTAATTGGATTAAATAAAGAGAGCAACTTTGACCACTCCAAAACCAATAAGGAATTTCATTTCTATAATGTTTCACAAATCTCATGTGCCCTTGTGGATCCTTGTCTATTTGTTACTATATTTATAAATATATTCTCAATCAAGAATATATATTATATAAAAAGTTCTTAATTTGATCCGGCATGGTTTATTTCTAAAGTTTTACTGTGACCTCAAGATGTATGTAAGAAATAAATTTTAGAACATTATAGAAATTTAAAAGAAAAAAGATGGTAAGAAAATGAGTTTGATAAAGTTGAAACGATCTCCTATCTAGAAATTAATTTATTGTATATTATATCGTTTTTTTTATGAAATTAGACAAGGTGGGGTAAATTGGTTCAAAAAACTCACATACATGAAAAAAGAAAATTTGAATAAAGTTTCTTTAATTAGTAGGTAGTAGGCAGTTGATATTTGAGTGGTTAAAATAAAGGGCGTTTCTGGAATTGGATAGGTTCCCCTAAAACCCCTCCAAGTTGTGCCGTACGTGGCTGCTCTGTTTCTGCTATTAACGAAACGACATTATAAAAGTCAAACAAACACGCCCCTGCACCTACACTAATACAATCTGACTCATCGTGGGACCCACTTTTTTTCTGGCTTTTACCCTTTGGATTATTACGCAAAAACCCCTACCACTACAAGCCTACCTCCTTACCTAACCAATTAGGGGTTAGGGGTTCCTTGGTAACAAAAATACTACTTAACGGTAAAAGGGGCAAAATTTAAAAAAGGAGTAATGATTTCTACTTTGGTTTTAGCAAGACGATAATGATCTTTATCCATACTCTAAACCATTCTATTATGGATAAGAATGACTTTTACTTTTATCCTTTCAAAAAAATAATTAAATTAAAATATATATATATATATATATATATATGTTTCTAAATTTATAATCTATTAAATCCTTATCGATCACTATTATCATTATTGTTGTCCTCCCTGTCGATCACCACTAAATCATTGTTATTATTCCTCGTTCCTCGTTTGTTGTCATCGTGAAGCTCGATCTATATCGCTCCTTGGCTATCACCACCATTGATTACGTCTAGTCACGGTATCCCTACATGTCATCTTCAAATCTCAATAATGAAAGGACAAATTATTTGTTTTAAACGAAGGAGTAAATTTGTTATAAATGTTAGGGCGATCGTTCGTTCTAGTATATATTTGAAACAACACTCATTATGAATCTAGTTCCTTATTCGATCTGAAACAAGCAAGAATAAATTCATAAATTTGTCTACACATAAATTCATTTTTTGAGTACATCTAAAAGATCTATACTATTTGATTATATATATATATATATATCTATACTATATCTTCCTCATTTTTAAGTTGGCGTGAGATTCGATTCACACTATACATTATTATAAATTTCTTTGTAACACACCTATAGCATCATTATATAAATATTAATTCTTATCTAATATATAAAAATTTATGAATATTTTGAAAGTATGAAATATTTAACTTTTTAGTTATTTCCAAGAATATAAGTACAAATGAAATCATGGTAGTTAGTTTTCGTATCTATAAAATGAAAAAGGCAATCTAATAATATATCATCAAGAATAAGCATATTCCAATAATATTTTATTTCAATATCTTGGATAGTTTCAATCCATCAAACAAATGGCCACTAAAACTTGTAATTATTTGTGTATCACTAAGGGTAAGAATCTTCTCAATAGAGTTTACAATGCAAATATAAATGAGGAAATGTATTATAATAAAAAATAATGTACCCACCGATTTGGTATGGGTGATCTAATTATATCTCATTTCTTTAATGTGTAGTTTAATTATATCTTTATATATATAAAAAGAAAAGAACAATAAATGATCGAAGTATCATGAACCTACTCCTCCCAACCTGAATTTACTAGTATAACCTCTGTACTCTTAACTGTCTATTTTGATGGTTTGTTGGGGTTGTTTGTTTGTTTGCTCAATGTGAGTAAACAGATATTTACAAGAAAATTATTTTTTGCCTTTATGAAAAATGAAAGTAACGAGCTCTTTACATGTATTATGTGAAAAAAAATAAAATAATTTAAGTTTATTACGTAAGGTAAAAGGAGGGGAGAAAATGAAAATAGTTAAAGAAAGTGACATTTACATAAATAATATATAACATAAATATGTATTTTTAAATATAGTAAAAAGTTTGAAATTTTACAAAAGTAGCATAATCAAAATATCAACACAAACTCAAATGTAATATAAAACGTGCTAAAAAAGTTCTTAGCATAACTCAAGGGAATAAAACATTCACTACTATTTTTTAATGTCAACGATTCAATTTCTCATTTTAACTTTTTAATTAAAAAAGAGAAGAAAAAAATCACACTTATACTATATTCGAAGAAATGAAAATTTGTGACATGTTTGAAACTGTATATCTAATTTATGTTATATAGTCAAATTTATATTAAAGAAATTAATCCACATACAACATATACTTAGATTAGGAGGGATTTTGAATGTATTAGAAATATCAATTGAAGAACGTCTTCATTTTAAACTTAAATATATGCTAACTAAAAACAAAAGGAAAAAAATCTAAAAAACAAGAACCTGATCTAGTCTATCTTCCTCATTTTATTAATAAAAATATTGTTTAAAAGAAATTAGTAATTCAATTTTTGGTCGGAACATAAATTAACTAGGTTGACAACAAAAAATGTACGAGTGTTCTTTTTAGTGACTAAACTATATTTATAGTTACTTATTCATTTTTTGATTTTGTTTTTATTGCTTTTGTTGAATTTGGACCTTTTTTTAAATTTATTTATTATCTAGGATATTTTTATGGTTGAATTGGTACATTTATCGTAACTTAATTTCAAGTATCTTACTAATTGAGTTTCACGATATTTACTTGTCTATCGCTTAGTAATGTTGTAATTTTTATTTGAGAGAAGTATTAATTTCATTACTAAAGTAAAAAGACAGCTAAATTCAAGATTTTTTTTAATTAAATTATTGGTGGTGGAATAAATGTTTATGAAATATATGAAAACTTTGGAAATGACAAATATAGTAGGAGAAAAATATAGGGGGGATGGGGAAGGACAAGAAAATAGAAGAAAAGGACATTTGATCTCACATAACCTTGTTAATCTCACCATCCTCCCAACCAAACCCTAACCACAAAATACATTGCAATTTTCATTTTTCATTTTCCCCCAAATTTGATTTATTTTAATCCACGTGATTTTCCACGGCTTCGCTTGGCTTATGACGTCACCAGTGACATCCCCCCACCAAAAAGTCCCAGTTACCCTTGGTATTCCTCCTCATCCGAAACAGTCCTATTACAGCCGTCCACGTGGACACACCTCGGGACCGCAACAGGACCTCCCACTCAGGTACGCCGTGGACCACGCCATTTTTTTACCTTCACGCGGCGCCCTTATCAAGCACGTGTCCGTATAACAAAAATGAAAAACCCTCACTGACCAGGACCACGGTTCTTCCGCTGGTCCTCGCCGCAGCCGATGCTCCCTCCATTTGCGGGTCCCACCTTACTCTATCAGTCCTCCGACGTGGCCAGCTCCGGCGGCCAACACGTCGCGATTGCAGGAGCAGCGGCAACCGGGAGCGCGTGGGCTGAAACTTACTCGTAGCCAGTTGGCATTACTGGGTAGTCGATTGGCCGACCTTATCCTCTTCTTTCTTACATTTTTTTAATTGCAATATATAAATATTTTTTCTCCAGAGAGGAAAAGGAATGCAATTTGGGAATTGTTTAGAGCAAAGAAAAGGTAGAGGAAAAAGAGAGGCTGTAATGTGACTCCTTGGCTTGGAGAGAGACCAAGACCAAACCCTAGATTTTTCAGTCCCAAGTAGCAAATTTGTTCATTTATTCCCAACAATTTCAGATCCGACCACATACTCCACTCCCAACGATATTTCCTCGCTTTCATCATTTTGCCGCTGGTTAGTTTCCATTTCCCGTTCTTCTCTTTCTGGTGGTAATCTTTTCTGCATCTTGCTCTGTAATTTGCATTTAATTTTTGTTTTCTAGTTATATTCATGTTTACTTTCATCGTACAGCTCATATCTATGCAGGATATGGTATTTCGGAAGGATATTGGTGGATCATATCATAATTTGTACATCATTTTCTTGATGCATATGAGTTCTTGGTGCTTTGGATATGCGATTTTCCTGTGTAATTAGTTCTTGGTCTCTGCGGTGACGCTTTTTATGTGATACCCGTTGCAGATCTTGCTTAATTATAGACACCCGAGGAGGAGGAAAACCCGTCCCTGTGTTTTGTGAATACTCTCTTTGAGATTCTTTGTGAAGCTTCTTTGATTTGGGAATTTATCGTAGGCTATTAAAGATGATGTCAAAATCGTATACTAATCTTTTAGATTTAGCTTCTGGGAATTTTCCCATCATGGGTCGTGAGAAAAAACGACTTCCACGAGTAATGACTGTTGCGGGGGTAATATCGGAGCTTGATGATGAGCAGGCAAATAGTGTGACTTCCGAAGGTCCTTCCTCAGTTGTGCAAGACCGTATAATTATTGTTGCCAATCAGCTTCCTATTAAAGCTAAGCGTAGACCAGACAATAAAGGCTGGAGTTTTAGTTGGGATGAAGACTCTTTGCTGTGGCAGCTAAAGGATGGTTTACCTGAAGATATGGAGATTTTGTATGTAGGATCTTTGCGGGTGGATGTTGATTCTACCGAACAAGATGATGTATCACAGCTTTTGTTGGAGAGGTTTAAGTGTGTTCCTGCGTTTTTACCTCATAACATTCTATCAAAATTTTACCATGGTTTTTGTAAGCAACATTTGTGGCCACTCTTTCATTATATGCTTCCATTCTCAGCTACTCATGGTGGTCGGTTTGATCGGTCTCTGTGGGAGGCATATGTAGCCGCAAATAAAATTTTTTCACAAAGGGTGATTGAGGTCATAAACCCAGATGACGACTTTGTATGGATTCATGATTACCATTTGATGGTGCTGCCTTCCTTCTTGAGGAGAAGGTTTACAAGATTGAGAATGGGCTTTTTTCTTCACAGTCCATTTCCTTCGTCAGAGATATATAGGACTCTGCCAGTGAGGGAAGAGATTCTTAAGGCACTTTTGAATTCAGACCTTATTGGTTTTCACACTTTTGACTATGCTCGACATTTCCTGTCTTGTTGTAGTCGGATGTTGGGTTTGGCATATCAGTCAAAGAGGGGTTATATTGGGTTGGAATATTATGGAAGGACCGTGGGGATAAAGATCATGCCTGTTGGAATTCACATGGGCCAGATGGAGTCAGTTTTAAGACTTGCTGATAAAGACTGGAGGGTGCAGGAGCTCAAGCGAGAGTTTGAAGGAAAAGTTGTCTTACTTGGGGTTGATGATATGGACATTTTTAAAGGGGTCAATCTGAAGTTGTTGGCAATGGAACAAATGCTAAGGCAACATCCAAAGTGGCAGGGAAGGGCCGTTTTGGTACAGATTGCAAATCCAGCTAGAGGAAGAGGGAAAGATCTTGAGGAAATACAAGATGAAATACAGGAATGCTGCAAGAGGATTAATGAAAGTTTTGGACAGTCAAATTATGAACCAATTGTGTTCATTGACCGGCCCGTTTCTCTCGCTGAAAGAGCTGCATATTACACGATTTCTGAATGTGTTGTAGTCACAGCAGTGAGGGATGGTATGAACCTAACTCCTTATGAGTACGTTGTCTGCAGGCAGGGAACTTCTGGATCAGATTATAGCTCTGAAACTAATGGACCACAAAAGAGCATGCTAGTCATATCAGAGTTCATGGGATGTTCCCCTTCTCTTAGTGGTGCAATACGGGTCAACCCATGGAACATCGAAGCAACTGCCGAAGCATTGAATGAGGCAATATCAATGGCTGATGCTGAGAAGCAATTACGCCATGAAAAGCATTACAAATATGTGAGTATACATGACGTGGCATACTGGTCAAGGAGTTTTTTCCAAGATATGGACAGAACTTGTAAGGATCACTTCAGAAGAAGGTGCTGGGGAATTGGATTGGGCTTTGGTTTCAGAGTTGTAGCACTTGATCCTAGTTTTAGAAAGTTGTCTATTGATGCCATTGTAGCTGCATATTCGAGGTCTAAAAGAAGGGCTATACTTTTGGATTATGATGGCACCGTGATGCCACAAACTTCAATTGATAAGACTCCAAGTAAACAAGTTATTTCAATCATTGATTCACTTTGTGATGATGTTAGGAATACTGTTTTTGTTGTCAGTGGAAGAGGGCGTGATAGTTTGGGCAGCTGGTTTTCTCCTTGTGAAAAACTTGGGATTGCTGCTGAGCATGGCTATTTTATGAGGTATTGTCTTTTTTCTCATTTCCTTTTACAATATCCCCCATGAAATCTTGTTCATCCATCTATCTACCCGTTTATCTATATATATTGCAGTTTTTTGAATCTTGTAATTTATCAGGTGGTCTGCTGATAAGGAGTGGGAACACTGTGGGCAAGGTAGTGATTTTGGTTGGATACAGATTGCAGAGCCAGTCATGAAACTATATACAGAAGCTACTGACGGCTCTTCTATTGAAACTAAGGAAAGCGCCTTGGTGTGGCACCATCAAGATGCGGACCCTGATTTTGGTTGCAGCCAGGCCAAGGAACTGTTGGATCACCTTGAAAGTGTGCTGGCAAATGAACCAGTTGCTGTTAAAAGTGGTCAGTTTATTGTAGAAGTGAAGCCACAGGTATTTATTTGTACATTAAACTTCTTAAATAACATAAATTGAGCCTTTCATTTTAATTTAAATCGATAACTGCATGTTACGTTACCATATTATGTTGTGCTTGGTTGTTTGGCTGTGGTTTTGAAGAACTGGTAGGCAGCCCTGTCTTGATATGCTCCAAGCCACTTTTCACTCACGTGCATAGATTATAAATACAGAAATAGTAGTAATCTTGTAGGGAAAATCTACCGTGTTATAGGGTAGTTTTATGAAATCAGGGTTGGGGACCACGGTAGAAGTGTGTAATAGTTATTAAATGTATGGGTGGAAAGAAATATAAACTATACTTAGTGTCCTAACTTATTAGACTTGGCACAATTAAATATTAGCTCAAGTAGAAAATAAGTTTATATAGGATGAGACCTTGAGAATAGCTACCTCATCAGTTATTACTTCTATCTACCTGATCGTTATATATTGAACTGAGGAATTTCTGTATCCCTCTCATACGTGGGAAATTTCTGAGAAATGGGGTGCCAGTGCGCAGTAGGCAATCATAGGCCATTCTGGAGAAGCCATCTTATGCCTTACGAAAGATCTGTGAGGGAGAAGATGATACGTTCACATTTGTTAACAATTAATCAAGATTGACCTTCCATGGTGATGGAGAATGAGTAAAAATTAAAGTTCGTTATGCTTTGCTGTTAAACAAATAAAATATATAATTTTCACCTCAAAGCTCATCGGTACTATAAAGTTATTTGACCATTCTAGAGGGGGTTACAAATAACAATATTTTTTGGCAACTTGTTTTGATGGGAGGATTTGTTGGTCTATTTGTGTGAGGAGAAGCTTTGATGGAGAAATTAACCACTTTCTTTTTTTTTTTTTTTGGCCTTTCTCATTCGTACTTTTTTTTTTCCCCTTTCTTTTGTTTCATTTTGACTATACTATAAAGCTTGAATATGAGAAGTTCATATCTTTTTGCAAGCAGTCAACTTATTTAATTGAAAGATAGTCGCCTTTATTTTTCCAATGATCAAAGATTGTCAATGTCAATGGCGTTACATGATATTTCATGCATGTGGAGATAAAAGATTCGTTGTGTTTTGGTAGACAAATGGGTTCTGGCATTTTTCTGTTTGTCTGTGCTTTTGCTCCTGTCTTTTGCCTCTAGTCCATGGTTTATTTGTAGACCCTTGCATACATAATGAGACATACCTTTTGCATTCCCGAAACTTGAGAGTTATCTCGCCTACTAAGACTTTATGAAGATTGAATCCAAAATCTCCTTTAACTTTCAGGGAGTCAGTAAAGGTTTGGTGGCTGAAAAGATCTTTGCGTCAATGGCGGATGCAGGAAGACGGGCTGATTTTGTGCTATGCATTGGTGACGATAGATCTGATGAAGACATGTTTGAGATCATTGGTAATGCTGTATCAAGTGGCGTCCTGTCTTCCAATACATTAGTTTTTGCATGCACAGTGGGACAGAAACCAAGCAAAGCCAAGTATTACTTGGATGACACAACTGAGGTCATAAACATGCTTGAAGCCCTTGCAGAAGTTTCAGATATTTCTTCCCCACCAGAATCCCCTTGAGAATCTTCTCCATGGCAGCAGTTACATACATGCTCCAGTCTCTTCTCCTTATAAGCGAGTGACAAAACGGACGTCGCTGGCGGACGATTAGTATCATATTTCATTTTCTGCTCTTTTTGGAAGTAAATTAACACGCAGGAAAATGGAAATGGCTTAAATTAGAACCACATCTGCGTCTTGTTCTGAAACGTACAGTGGATGCAAAATATGAAATGGGGGAAAGGCATTCGTTCTTGGCATAGGACTCGGTGAGGATGGAATGGGATTTATATGGACTGACTGACTTTTGGGATGTCACAGAAACAAGAATCTGGAAGACAATGGTTGAATGATTTGTGAATAATCTTTGAGGCCCAACCACTGGTTACTTCCACAATCCTCAGAAGCGAGTGTTGTAATCTCACTTCCATTCTTTTGGTTCTGAAGTATTTGGGTGGTGGGATGTTCAGATCAGATTGTTTGGAGTAGAAAGTTAGATACAGAAGCCTGAGCTCGTCTTGTATTGTGAAACTCTATCAACTGGACAACATAATGATGTCCTTAGCCTCTTTCTTGCTCATTTTTACTTCGTTAAATTCTTGAGTGCATTTGTTTTCTCATTGATACTTGGGACCATTTTTATTTGCTTATAAGAAATCTGTAAATCTCTCCTATATTAAAGCCTTTCTGTTTAGATTTGCAGTACTTTTTTGTTAACAAGAATGTGTTTGGTAACATTGGACTGGTTTATTCTAGAATGTGGGGTTTTTCTTTCTTCTTCTTTTGAGGTGTTGGATTAATTAATTAGTGTAGATAAAGTGAAGGCAAAGGGCAAACATTGCTCTGCTGTCTCTGACTCAGCTGCTTCCTCGTACTTCCTCGCAAATTAATTTCCAACAGGGTCGCCATTACTTTATTCTTATTTATTTTTTTGATGGAGACCGGCATTATTAATTGCAAAGCTGTTGAATATTTCCCTTTTTAATAAACAAATTAATTTAGATTTTTCTTTTTCTTCTTGATTTCCAATTTATTAGACAGACACATATTGTTGCATATGACACATTTAATGCGGTGATTGACGCTTTTGTATTTGGTCTACTACCTGTGTAAGCATGTCACATTCTACTACTAGACATAATTTGTTTGATGTATCTTGTCAAACCTAAACACCGATCAGTTATTTAGTAGTGTATATTTCCTCACGTAATACTTTACCTAATATGTCATCCACAATATAACTTTAGTTGTACTAATCACACTTTTCTTGTTGCATAAATACTGGAAAATAAATCTTGACGTAGGTAAGAACCTCTCTTCTCTTGCTGTGGTCATGTCTCTTTGAAGTTGAAGTTGAAGTTGGTGTGTCCTAATATAACTTTGAAGTCCATCTTAGCCAATCAAAATCCTTCAACAACCAAATACTAATGAGTTGTTTGTTGCATATGATGTTGGAGGGTGGGTGAAATGAAGCTGCCTTTTGAGCTGGAAACAAGTTTTCATGTCGGATTGAGAATAACAATAATAGTAATAATAATATTAGCATCAAACAACAAACATAACGTATTAAATTCTAACTACTCAATACAACACATTAATACCATCAATACTCATGTTCTTCTCATGCTCCCCTCCTTTAAACCAACAAACATTTCCCACCTTTTTATGCTCTCTCTTCTACCTAATCACTTCTAATTTTTTCTACCTAACATCTTCTCACTCGAATCGAATACAAAACGATAATCTCCTGATTAATATAAGTTTTTGATGTATAATTTTGTTATTATTATTCTTTTTAATGTGGAAATTAAACTTTGAGTGTGTGTATATTTATGCAGTGGGGTACCAAATACAGTAATATAAAGTATATAAAAAGAATGGAGGACATGGGTCATCATTTTTGCCAACACTTAATTCAAAAGAAAAAGGAAGATGCCATGATAGTGACCTCAAAATTATGTGCATTATATTTATTTATATCCATTCAACTTCAACTTGCAAGCATCGTCCATTCCGCCTTTACACCACAAATCTTTGTGTCCAAGTTTCAATTTTTAAATTATGTTTTCCAATAATGTCATTATACCCTACTCTTAGGCTTCTTTTTTAAAAGACTTGTGTCGTTTTCTTTACAAAAAAATATAACAATTGCTTGATTAAATTTTTTTCAATTGAATTTCTAATCATAATGGAGCTGGGTCTTTTTTATTAATGGCATAACAGACCTAGGTTAGCTCAAGCGATTAAATTCATTAGATTGAATGTGAATGTATGAATCCTTATTGAACAAGAGTTAGGTCAAAAATGGGTTTTTTTAGGTTTTCATAAACTGAAGATTAAATGATTGCACATTTTTGTAAATTGTTCAGTAACCCATATATTATAGGATAAGTGTGACTGTATAATACAAATATTTATACAATTCATTGGAAAAAAAATTGGAAATAGTTTATACAGTACTACTACGCCGAGTAATCTGCGTCTTCTCATCGATTTTGATCTAACGGTCGTGGAAGCTAAGCATCCAACGGCTGACATTGGCCGAACATTCTCCTTCCATCCTTACGAGCCGCCGTGGAATTTAGCGACTCGGCGGCGATAAATAAACCCTACTCTGTACCACCGTGTGTCCAATCTTGAAACCCGGAACGACGGTGAACCGGACCCGAGGCTCGGATCCGGATCCTATGGTGGAATCGTTCATATCGGCCGGCGAAAACAACGTCTCTTCGGTAACGCATTGCATGTAAACTTCGGAGAATCTGCTGTTCTTCCTCACTTGGAAGATCGTGACGTCGTCGTTCAGTGAAAATGCCAAGCACCGGAGGAGCCACACGCGCTTCGACATCTCGGCGAAGGCAGCGAAGAACGCCGTATCGGGGACACGCCCGGCACTCATAATTTTCCTCTGGTTGAGATTACCGAACAGAGAGCACTCCATTTTCGCGTGGACGAGGTGGAGGTATTTGGACCGGGTGAATTTTGCGAAGGAAGAGTTAGGGTTTTGAGAGAGGAAGATTTTAGGGTTTAATGGTTTGAGCTTCTTGAATTTATCGAACATGAGGTGGTTTTGTTGCTTTCCGAGTGGTAGAGAGTCATTTTGGAGTATGAAACTCGGGTCGGTAGTGAAGCCCTCGAACATGGTTTTGCAGACGAACGATTCGAAAGCGAAGCTCCGATGTGTCGGCTCCGGGAATATGGTATCGGAATCGACGATACATTGGACGGCCGCGTCGAGGTTCCAGCTTGCGGATTCCATTTCGCGAATCATCAATTTCACGAAATTTCTGATGGATCTTAGAGTATAGTGGAGGAATTGGGCAAAATGGGTTGGATTCAGCAGAGGAAATTGAAGATTATCGAACATGGATAACGAACCGCTTGCCGTTAGCTTCTTCTCCAATGACTTGTTGAACGAAACCGATTCGCCAAGCTTTTTCTTCAACGAGGCAATGCCGGTATCCTTCTGCTCCGATTCAGCCTGCAATTTCTTAATCATTATCTCGTAGGTTTTCATCAAACTCTGCTGTTCCTGAATCTCTGATAGCATTAATGTCACTTGGGGTGAGAGATCGAGTTCTTTCTTCAAGAAGCTCCGTTTCAACTCTGAAATGTTCTTCAATTCGTCTACCACCGCCTGGTCTGCAGCTTGAATCGCGTCGCTGTTGTAAGGACTCTGTGCCATTTGGAGCTCGGCGTAGGCTGCTTTAATTGAAGTAACGCTCGCAAAAAGCTTCGCAACCAGAGCTTCCATGACTGCCCTGTTTCGAGCTTTGACATCTTCTTCAGTCCTGTCAAAGATTTGGGATTTTCCTCCATGGACACTCGAATCTTCTTTGAACTTGTCATGGGAAGCCAGAACGCAGATGCCATTACTTGACGCGATCCGAGTTGCGTTCCTGAGATTGATTACCTTCTGAAAAGTCCTGGCGAATCTCGTCTTGCTCTTCACAGATGATTTGGGTTTGATCGCTTCCATAAGAAAGAAAAAACACACACCCACACGCCCAAAACACAGTTATGTTGAACTCAAAAGGGCTGGGTTCCAAAATGGAGCATAGAAGTGGAAGATTTGGTGATTGGCGAAGGAAAACAGAGGAATTAGAAAAAGGTTTAAAAGGGAAAAAGCGATTAAAAGAGCAGAATTTCTTTGCGAAAAGCAAATCGCAAACTTTGACTATATCTTATATTACCGGAAATGGAGGTCAGGCACGAAAAAAGCAAAGATTTAAAGCGCAGGAAACAAAGGAAAAAGAAAAGGAAACCAAAGCTATTGCCATTGCCATCGTACAGCACCGAGACCTGTCAAGAATATAAGTTCACATCACTTGCAGTTACAGAGGAGATAAGTACAGGTACGAAACAGAACCCCATCAACAACTTAATAATACTCTCTGATTTTCCATTGAAATGAAATGATTCTGCTTCAAATTGAAGAAAGGGTACTCCTCGAGGCTCAAGCTGAACTTAATAATATGGTTTTAAGAATATTTAGGTGGCGCCATCAGCCTCAGGCTGAGGCTGGAGGTGATATTATTACAAATATTTGTGAAGTCTACGCTTGTAGAGTGATTGATGCCTGCTTCAGCTGCGATCAAACCATGGACCCTACACTACACTAAACCCAAATTTAATCATTTGGATTACTGGTCTTTTGTTTTTTCTCACTAATCTTCATGCACAGCACAGATCTTCCAAGCTTAAACACAACTGCCCTGGCCCCTTTCACTGAGCCTCGGACCCATTTATAATATCAATATGTCAAACCAATTGGAAAGCTTTGGTTTTTGTTTTGTATGTGTGTCAATCCCAATAATTACCCCCTCTTTAATTAATACACTTGACTTGAGAATATGTAGAGCCAAAAAAGGACAAGGCATAGAGCCATACCAAAAATAGTTATTTTTATCATGTGATGAGTGAGAATGAACTGAAACAGAAAAGATTTTAAGAAAAGAAGAGAATTAACGAAAGCTGTATTCTTGACATCTTGTCACCTCACCATCTTCTTTCGGCTCCCTTTGCAACGTCTTCATTTGGGTCCCATAAAAATACAGAAATCAATATTTTAATTTTGTCTGAGTAACGAAACGATCAAATGGCTAATCGAATGTTCTCTCTCTTATTCTTTTTTTTTTTCATTTTGTTAATGGTTATAGAAAGGACAGTCATATTATATAATTTGCCTTCTAAAATGATCATGATACTGTGACTATTTGGGGGTAGAAAAAGGGTAATGGAGTGAAGGAGAGGGAATTAATATGCAAAGTGAAAAATGAGGAGTCTTCATTAAGAGGGTTGTCGATGGGCAAATGGGTCCTGTTTGCTCCATGTTTCCGACACAAATGAGACAAAATTAGTGCATTAAACTCAGCTAACTTTCAATGGCGGACAGGACAATGTTTGCTTCTTCTCTTAACCATCAATCATGCATTCTACCAAAGGTCCAGCATTCGTTTTAATATTTCCCATTACTCAAATTTCCAAGTTTGATTACTCCTAATCAATAAGGTTACCAATTTTTTAGTTTTGCTTTTTGAATTTTGAATTTTCTTTTCTGGCATGCAAAAAGATCGGGGCCCAAGATTTTGTAGCCGTCTATTGCCGGAATATAGTGTCACTTTTCTCTTTAAAAAACTATTGGGGCATTTAATGATTATAATGAAGGCATTAAGCATGCTTCAATCGATCGGTTCCATCAATATATATTAACATGCAGATCTATAACTATAACCAGCAGAAAGTTATAATATTGGGTCAATTCTGGCCTTTCCCTGTTTAGCTTCGTGGTTTTTTCTTCCCTGGTCAATCACCTTTTTGTTTTCCCTCTCGATTCTAAAATAGCCGTTGCCATAAAGATGACAATAAAAAATGGCTAGAAGAAGACAATATATTTAAAAAAATTACACAGATTTTAGAGAGAGACGAAGAAAAAAAAAGGAATAGAGAAAAAATCTACTGTGATCAAGATTTGGAATGTGTCATGGTCATATGTATTGTGTGCGCAATAACATAATGAACTCTAAACCACACTATCAATCTCTTCTTTCAATCTCTCTATTTTTAATGTTGATGTTGATTTTTGGTTTGAGAAGTTGCTCGAGGTGTTGATGTTGATTTTTGGTTTGAGAAGTTGCTCGAGGAGACCCGCTCCACGTCAACATTTCCCAAATTTTGCAAGTTGAATAAAGAGCAAGAGTGGGATGAAGTTGGCCCTGGTGTAGTCACCTCCCAATGCTTAAGCCAAATCAAAGCTATGCTTGCAGTCGAGCCAAGTTAAGCGGATTTTCGCATACCTTGATAGCAAGCGTAAAGCATCCTATTTAATGCATTTTTCATACTCATTACTTCAATGTATTTGCAGGCTTAGCTCATCACCCTGTCATCGTGAGGCATCTAGCTATTCGAATAACAATAATCTGTCACAAGATGAGTTCTCACACTTACTGGGTAGGAAGGTACACTCATCCACTCTCTTTAGGCAAGCAAGGTAATAATATCCTCTCCTCATGCTCTACTTTGGAGGTATACCTCGCTCTGAGGGAGATACACTTCAGCCCGAAACAACTAATACAGAATTAAAAATTTCTTACTTAGAAATCATAATGCTGACTTTTGAGTTACATTATCCCTAGCAGTATTATTGAGTATTCAAAAAGTAGTGGGAATAAGACACAAATGACAGCAGGTGTCCAAAGTGGAAGCGAAGCCAGGCAAGTCGGCCTGGGGATGGAAAAGGGGTTCATATTTGCAATCAACAATTGGGAAGAGTGGTGGACAGAGAGTGACTGCTGAAGCTTTTGAGGGCTGGCAAAGCACATTGGTAGGCCTATTCCTATTCCTGTTCCTATTCCTATTCCTATTCTAATTCCAAGTGCTTCTGCTCTCTCTGCTTTACCAGTGGGCCTTCAACTCACCTCAAAAGACTCAATGGATACATAGACTTCCACTTCTCCTTCTACTTGCTATACTAATTTAGACTACAAGAAATAATTTCGCTTCATGCATAACCACTTCTCCTTTGCCCTTGATGAGCAGTGGTTGCATTGCAGTTTACAAAGTAGAGAGCTGTTTAAGATACTTACGGTTGGAGTAGAGAGAAGCAGTCAGGAACCATCCGTGACTTTATTCAAGTAGAAAATACATTTGCTAAATGAGAACTTGTTTGAATTATCAAAATAAAGATTTGATCACAATAACAATGGAGGATAATAAAACATCAAATGTTGTATTTACAATAACAATGTGAAAGCCATCGATTTCATTAGCAATAAACTTTGGAAACTACAGAACAGAAAACCGTATCAGCTTATCTTGATGTTAGTCCTTCCAAGGATACCTTTGCAAGTTAGAAATGAAGAAAAGAAACCCAACCCCAGAAACTATAATTACCCTATGAAGAAAGGTTAGTCAAAAAGTCCCTACGAAATGTCAGTTTTCAACAAGAACCCTCCTGCATCTTGGCAGTTAATTAAGGTATCTCCATCCGGAAATGAAGGAATTTGTGATGATTGAAATTAGGTGTTGTATCCCCATCCCCAAGGCAAGATTACCTATCATGGTGTAAGAACATTACTGGATCTCAAGCTTCACAGCATTATACAGTGATCCCAGCCTTAATCAAGCTGGCAACTTAAGCTTCGCATTGTTTCTCCAGCTGCAAAAGAAAGTTTGGAACTTATCACTTGATATGACATGGCAGTTTAAAGCAAAACCAAAATAATACCCTGCATAGGAGTTTTATTCAATCACCTAATGTAGTAGTAGTAAAAGAAATCAGCATATAAAGCAGTCTGAACCAGGCCAGAGACGCAAGCTACAAGAAATGAAACACCATGTAAGACAATAAAAGATAACAAGCAATTAAAAGTTCCAGTGTGACTGAAGACCAATAGCAAACGTACCTATCCACCGGCTGAAATGTATGTCTGTGAAGTATCGGTAGATCCAGTTGAGGATGTACAACGCACGATAGGCTCTGCAGATTGACTTTAGTTACAATCAGAAGAACTATAATTACAAAACAAGTAGGAGAGGGTACACCAAGCAGAAGCTAGGAACTAAGCTAGGATAAGGACTTCTTCTTCCCAAGAAGATCAATGAGAATGTTATTAATGACTTCTATCCTATTAGTGGGACAAATTCCATGTACAAAATGCTTATGGAAGCCTTCCTGATGACAAAAATGCTGGTAAGATACCAAAACGAATATATACAAATTTTCAGAAAGAAAAAATTGGATGCACAACGCTTGGTTGCTTTTTCCAATGACACTGAACATGTAGAACTTTTAGTACACCATCCGAAATAGGTATCATCATCATGCTTCGAAAAGTGTTTAATACCTTATTGGAATCAGCTTAAAGAAACTCTATAAATTTTCATGTCAGCAATTGATACAAATCCTAGACCACGTGAAAACAAGAACCCACTTATATATGTTAAATCTATGGAAATTTATTGGGTCACAGCTGTAAATGATGCAATTACATCGAATACGAACAGCAGAAATGGAAAAAGAATCAGTGATCATATTCTTTTAAAAAAATGATGAAGTTCAAAGAAAGAAAGTAACTCTTCAATAAAGCATCACCAATAATAAAGGAAATATACAAACCCAAGAAAGAAGACATAATGGCCGGTTAAATTGTCCACATTTCCACTTCGTTGCAATAAAACTAATTGAGGAAGAATTGCTATGGCCTCCAAGTATATTGAAAATGCCCAAAAAATCTGGAGCAGAAAAAACTCAACAATGTCATTTTATATTGCATCATATTCTCACTAATTAATATAGAACACAGGAAACGGAAATCAGATCACAGTAATAATGTGGATTTTTTATACAATAATAAAATGACAAGCATTCCTAACGGACTAGTATAGACAAAAGACAAAGTCAGCGTGCCTTTGAAGGATAAATAGGGAACAAAAGATAAAACTACATTACAAAATTTTGTTTCAACACTGCGGTATCTGTTAGGACCTCTTCCAATTTTCTTTCAAGGGACGTGGATAGTTCATGAGAATAAATAAGATGCATTCATACTTGGGCCTGGTCTGGGTCGTAAATCCAATGAATCATGACAGCAAACTGCTCGCGGTCTTTTTTCTCATGATAATTCCAGTAATGCTATAGTGTGCTTGTGCAGGCTTGCACAAATCCAATTCTATGAACTTTTACAGTTATGTGAACAAATTATCACCTTGGTTTTAAATTCACATGCAAGACGCCTAATGAGGATGAAACCGAGAAAAGATGAACCGGTGAAGCTATCAAGTATCGAAAGGATAATTATGTAAATTAACAATGCCTCACCTCAAACAATCAAATGCGGACTATGAATATATACTAACAATGTCTCACCTCTTTAAACGCAAACTTCTCATACAATAAAAGGGCGAGAATGAAACTTGCAGCAACAAGAAAATAATGACGAAAAGTGTCAAGATCTTTATCGTATGACCGCCTCACGATTGGATGCACCCGCATGCACCAAACAATTGCCAGAGAACTTGCTATAAAGATCAGCTTCATCACAGTATTATAGATAGATATGAAGCCCGTGAATAGATCCAAGTACCGAGTCAGAAAAACGAGGGCATACAGCTCCTGAGTCTTGAGTGAAATTCCTTCAAAATATAAATTTTAAAAATCAGCTCCGCGTTAATATTCCAAATTAGCAAAATCAGCTCCACTACACCGCGCCCAATGGAAGAAGGTATATCCATCTATATCCGGCCCATAAAATCAACTCGGTAAAGTATCAATCTTTAACCTATTTGTCCCGAAAACTAAGAAGAAGAAAGAAAAAGAAAACCCTAATCCTCCAACCATCGGTACAAAAAAAGTACCAAAACTTTACAAAAAAAAAGTTCAATCAAAATTCAATTGACCAATTATGACACCATCTGGGAGCTGAACTGACTAAAACTCCGCTTCAAGGAGTCCATATCAGAATCTCATTACCAATTCTCTTCCAGTGGGATCCACCATTGAGGCATAAAAACAACAGAATAAACCGGCACCCACACTCTCGTTTTCAATTTCATTGTGCCCTATCTTCCTCGTTAAAGCCAAAACTAAACAGAAGACGAAGGAAAAGACAAGGGGAGGTGATAATTACCGGAGCAGGATTTGGTAGCGTAGATTTTGAGGAGAAGAACTAAAATACTGATCAAGTGAGTCATATCGCCGGCGAACCTGAAAATATTCATGGTTTCTGAGCGAAGAAAACGATTCCCACCTAGATTTTCGGCAAGAGGGGGAGCGCGGAAGCTGGGGAGACGAGAGGAGGGAAATTGGAAACGCAGAGGACTTTGAACGGAACGGAAGAGAAAACAAACGTGGCAATTGGAAACGTCCTCTGCCTCCACGATGTCCTGTCATTTTGACCACATCACTATAAGTCTATATCTCTTGACTTTTTACATTTGTGTATTTCTAAATTATATATACACAGTCATTAAATTTTGCATTATATTTCCCCCCTGCCAGAATGGGCAGTTGGGTTCTGACGTTTGATCATAGGCGCAGGCCCAAGCCCAACCCGAGCTAAAAGCCCAGTCGGTCATGGGTTGGGTTCGGCCCATCCAATTTGAAAAGGCGGCCGAAAAAGTAAAATATTGGAAAAATGAAAAGGGAGGAAAATAGAGAGGGATAAAAAAGTAAATGAGTTTGACAAAATTAAAAAACGTTAGATTTGCATTGTGTGCATCATCCAAGAAAATCATTCCCTAGATTCTCCAAAACTTTTATGATTTGAAAAGATAACTCCCGCCCTAAACTTTGAAGTTTGAAGCAGCCGCAAAGGTTGGTATTGGCACGTGAAAGCCTTCAATTTCAATGGCTGCCTACCAAACTCAATTAATTTAATCACATTACAATGAAAAATTTTGAGTTTCTGTTCATCCCAAAAAGGAAGAAGGAAAAGAAAACCACATACCCATGGCCTTGTCTCTTGGGAACTAGACACCTTTCAACTTTCCCAATCCACTTGAATCATAGCCTCCACTCCTCCTACAAAAAAATTTACTTAATTAAATCACCTAGGCTGACACAATTGCACTTGTTGCTTCTTTTCACTAATTTGACCGTGGGGTGCTGTTCTAATCATTTGCATAGTGAAGTGAACGATGTTAATTATATGTAAGTTTTGTTTATTGAGGGCTGTTCCACCTTGCTTTTTAGGTGATGATTTCAACAATACTTGGATCCTATATTACTGGCTAGGTAAGCTAACTCTGTGGCGTGGTTAGTCAAAGATTTGTTGTTGAAAATTTCAAAGAGGGGGTTTGAGGTGATTTCACACCCAATGTTGACGTCTAGTCAGCAAGATAGCTTGAACCTTTACAGAGGTTCAGAGTCGAACTACTAGAGATGATCAAAACTCATGTACCGACCAACAACTTATACATCGGTCACTTGAGTTATCAATCGAGTCGAACTATGTTAACTTCTGCAAGTACAAACTTCTAATAGAATCCAAAACAACAAGTCGTGACTCTCTGAGCTGTTGGAAGCTTGTCGGATGTTCTATTGAAAGTCTCACCTATAAATAGAGACCTCTTACTTCATTTTTAGGTACGTGAAACTATATTTTCTCCCAAATATAGATTAGTCAGCTACTAACTTGGGCGTTTAAATGCTAATTCTATTTTGCAGGTCTCTCACTTGCATTCGACCTCAACTCACTCAAGAAGTTAGTTCGTGTCGATCTTTGCTGACTTTGTCAGTTTCTTCATCAACCAATGGATGTAGTTTATAACTTTTTATAATTCATAATTCCCCTGGCGCTGCCATCATCTTTTTTTATTGTGAATTAAATAAAACATTCCCGCCTCCATTGCCTAGCCTAGACCCAACTTAACCCAGGTGGGTCAATTGGTGGGCATTGAGATTCTCAGTTTGGCTCGTAAACAAAACAAAAAAAAAAGAATGAAAAATTTGGCAAATTAAGGCAAGCTGTAACTGCAAATGCAAAGAGATGGTGTGGACTGTGGAGAAAAAGCCCCACAGTAATAACTTCTCTCATATTAAGCCCAACAATAAATGGCGTGATTCTCTGTTGGTGTGTGTGCCCTATATATATCTATATATATATAATAAGAGGGAATAAAGAGAGAGAGAGGGCATAAGACAAGAGACATGTGATGGTCTGAGTTGAGATTTTGATGGGTTTCACAGAGAATCCAATAAGGTACATATCAATAAAAATGTACTATACCATAATATATAAATTCTAAAATATAAATATATGTGGAGACAAAGGAATCCAGACTGTAAGCCCTTGCTGCCTCTGCTCAATTGCAATTTTTATATCTGATATGAAATTAATAGGATTTTTGTTCTCTTTTTCTATTGTTTTGTTGGTTTCTGTTTTTTAAAAGACCTACTTGCTAGCCGATTCTATTATAAGATTAGTGAGTGAATTAACGTAAATTAAAAGTTTAGGACGAAGATTAATACAACTTGTCATATGTAAGGTTTCTTTTATTAATATTTTCAAACCTATTCATTTTAAATAAGATGATGTTTGAACTTAGTCCTTAACTATGTTTTAGTATTGTCATTCTTAAATTTTTAAATTTCTTGTTCTCATTTGGTGTAAAATATATAAATTTGGTTATATTATAAATTTTGTCTTTGAACTTTAAATGTAGTGTCTTTTATATCCTTGTGCTCTAAAAATTTATAATAGATCATTAAACTTTTAAAATTATGTCTATATTTTTAGAAAATTCCTAACAAATCCTTGAAATTTTAATTTAGTATCTAATGTAGGTCTATATTGCTAACTAATGCTTATCTCACATACTAAATATATTATTTTTTTAAAGGTTAGTTGGTAGTTTCTGGCAATTAGTGGGGCGAGTATTAAGTCTATGAAGTTTAAGGCATTAATCTATTATTACAAAAAAAGAAAAAAAAATTCATGTACCAATTAAAATATTTTTAAAGTATTTGGATAGATTAAACTCTTAAATTTCGTGGAACTATTAGAAAATATTTATAGACTTTCATAAATTTTTTTAATATAGACGTCATCGCAAAAGTTTATCGACGAAATCCATAATTTAACAAAATTTTATCTTTTTATTTGTCACTATTAAAAAATTGACAACTATTTGTTATGTTCTTTCTCTCTTGCTCTTGCTCTTGCTCTGTGTGTATTAATCTTGTAGTCGTAAACTCCAACACTCCCACATGACATTAAGAGGATGGAAAAAAATAAGGGAATGATATTGTAAGAAAAAGCATGGAAAGGAAAGGCAATGGTAGTGGACAGGGTTTGTTTGTTTGATGTATTTGGTTTGGGGGAATCCCATGGGCCAGCCTTCCCCTTTTGCCGTACGTAATATTCCTTTGTAATTCTCACTAATTTTCACTTTTGAGAACTAACCACTCTTCACACATCCAATTTTATGATCAAATTCCAATAACACTTTTAGCTAATGACTGCATATGGATGCATACAATAGTCTTATTAAGCCTTGATTTATTCTCGAAACGAGCTAGCATATATATCTCCAACCAAAAAATTGTGAGTTTGATCTCTCACCCCCATACGTTATACTAAAAAACTATTGATTTTTCTAACATTGTTATTAAATTATGAGTGCTCGTTGAATAAAATGATACGTTTTAGATAATGTCAAAAGTCATTTAGGTGCCATTTGTTTTTAGGGATCTTTGATGTTCGGTATTTTGGAGGTTTGGAAATACAAATGTCCAATATATGTAGATAGTCATGTTTTTTTTTTTTAAATAAAATTTTATAATGATGTTTTACATGATTTCTACTTGGAAATCTTAAAACTGTACCTACCCAGTCTCAAAAATCCTTACAAATATTCATATAATTTACATTGACTTTTATGTATTTTGTTAATTTAACGATTTGGTTTTTATTTAATTTATATTAAAGTTGAATCTTATTACGGAGAATACATTCATTTATGTTAATTTGAAATCTTGGTAAAATATTAAATATCAACTATAGATTCCAATAATATCTAAACTTGAACTTTTTTTCTCAAAAAGAAAATTATATAACTAATGACATTTGCCAATGGTTAAAGGCACTTTTTAATTTAATTGTTTGTATTTAGCTACAATTTATAGTATTGTTCATAAAAGCCGCCAACTAACACTTCAAGTGTTTCAATCAACTAGTTTTTAGCTCAAACACTTCATCCATGAAAAATGGATACAATTTTTGGCTGCTACTTAGTATTGACAATACGTCTGAAAAATATTTAAAAATAGAAAATTTAGATATTTATACCGTGTCGACTGGTGGGGGCAACTATCACGATGGGAAGTTCTTAAGACTATTCTTTTGACTTCTTGACTTTTCAATCTCTAATAATTACACGTTCAACTCAAATTATTTCTTCTAATGACACTCTAATACATAAATTTTTTTCAATAACTTTATTTCAATATTCAACCTACTTTTTCTATCTAACTTTAATCTACGCGTATTTTCTCACTAACAACTCTTCACACAATTTTTTTCCCTTGCTATTTTGTTTATTATGCCCACTTTCTAATACTTATTTCAGTATAAATACTCTCTTATTAACTTTTGTCCACGTGTATATTTTTTCTTGTTAATCTTGCTTTTATACTTTAGTAATCTCTATTACTATTCTCTCACTAATCTCTCTCTACACATTTTTCTCATTTACTGCATTTTAGTGGTTGTGTTTGTAGTTTTGTATTATTTTAATTATTTGAATTTTAGTAATTTATGAATCCAATAAATATTTGTTAAGTAAATATCAGTTATTAGAAATACTTATAATCAGAAGAAACTACCAACAGAAAACATTTAAACCAGACAAAAAATATTTATCATTAAGCCTTTTTTTAAATACTTATAATAATGGAAAATTATTTTATGTTTTCTACAACTGTTTATTCTAAAATTTTGTTAAAAAAAAAAACACTATCCAGCCAGATAAGATCCCAACGTCAACAAATTGTTTTTTATTTTTAAAAATAAAAAACCGTGTTTACATTTAATTTCCAACATCTTCCACATTAAAAAAAAAAAAAAGCGTCTTCAATATCCTTGACAGAAAAAAAAGGAAGAAAAAGAAAGATTGTTTTTTCCCTCTTTTCTTGGAGATAAAAAAATATATGTTTTACCTGTACAGTTCTTGGGACCACGAAATCTCAGTTACTCATAAGAAGAAAGAATGACATTGGATTAAATTTCCATATCGTACCAAAAAAAAAGGTAAATTTTCCATACAAAATATTGAACCAATTAATTGAAGCGTCTCGTCAGTGCACACCAAGTCGACATCACCACTTCAAATTTTAATCTTGATTTTTCTTTAACCAATCACTGTCTTCATTTTAATCTTACTATTACCACTAATAAATTATTATTATTTTCAAAATCTGTTAAAGCTCAACAACCCTATTTATTACCGGAAAAAAATAGTTCAGTTGATTGGATATTTAACTCCTATCTTTAAAATAAGAAAAGTGGTGTTGGTCTTGGTTTTGGGTGTAGCTATGAAAAATTTAAAATATGAACCAACGGCATAAATTCTACGGTCAGCGTGCGATAAATGGAGTAAACGTTTTGAATACAATAATTTAAAATTTACTGAAACAGAAACATATAATTTTGTAAAATGAGTTATTGTTTTGTTTTTGGATGTATAGCCTTTCTTTTTCTCATAATTGTACGAAAGAGACGGCGGAAGAACGGGCAACCGGCAACCCCACGCCACGACACAGGTTTTTCAAACGGCCAAATTTCATTCGAATGGACCACATTCCAAAAAGCTTGCTTTTTTATTTTTTTTATTTATTTTTTTGGGAGTGGACTGGCAGTTATGCTAATTTCCCACAACCAAAAAGTAAAGAAAAACTAAAAATTCAAAAAAGCATAAAAATGAAAGTTAATTAGAAGCAACAAAAGAGAGGGGAAAAAAAAAGAAAAGAAAAAAGGGCTGTTTGTATTTGGTGTTGGGAAACGGACACACCGATTTCTTGCTGACGTGTCCTCCGCTGCAAGGGGGTGTCTGTGAATCTGGCTGCAGCAGATCTCTCCCATTGCTCGCTTCTCTGCAGTGTGTCTATGAATCGGAGTTTTCACTTTCCTGTGAAACGGAAGCTCGTGAAGTTCATGGGAAACTTGGCGAGGGATCTGGCCTTTAATACTCGAAGCGGGAGATTGGACACTGCTTTTTCCCTCCTCTGATTCAGGTGATTGCTTCTCTTTTCTTTTTTGCCTTTCCAGTTTGGCTCTGGCCTCCCCTCGTTGTTTTCTTTTATTGTATCTTCTTTCGCTGTCACCCTCGTTTTCTTCTCTACTCCCGTTTTGACAGAGACTTGCCGCATTTTTTAGGGATTTCACGGGAGTACGAATGAGGTTTTGATTCTCGCAGTTTTTGGAAACGCGGGTTCATTTGTGTTTTTTCCTGCTCGGGTTTCTGCTTGCTGAGGCTGGCTTCAGCTTGTTACAGTTTGCATTGGAGTTTTATTTTGGCCGCTTATTGGGATTCAGTTGGAATAGCATTTGATATTGCTGCTACTTCAGCTTGGATCTCGAGTGCTGAGCTTCAGGGTCAGCTCGACGCTGGTTCCCTGGGGTGGGTGATTGGAAAGTGCTTTGGTGATGGATTTTTTTTGTTTCTCCTTTTCTACTTGGCGGAAAGTCGACGAGGTTGGGAAATAATTGTTTGAAATGGGTTGGTTTAGATGGAATTTAAGCTCCTTCTTTAAAGGGAAGGAACTTTTTGCCTAAATTGTGGGATATTTGGAATTTATGTGTCGTAATTGCAAAGATTCGAGCTCTCGTTGCCTTATTGATAATGCAATATTTTTCGATTTGTTTCCTTAATTGCCAAGAAATTCCTCGCCCAAATGCATTTATGTTCTCATCATGACTAGAGCTGTCCGCGATAGAATTCTCAAGGAGGCGAATGGTGATATCGGTGATCATCTACGGAACCACATTCACTTGACAAACTGCATCCACTTGAAGAATCACATGCACAAGCACAGCCCTATCTTGGCTGACAGGTCTCTTATGAGGGACCTCATCGTCCTTCAGAGGTCGCGATCGCTCAGGGATCCTTCTGCAAGTCCTCCCTCATGGCAGTCTCCCTCAATTACCGATTTGCCAGCAAGGATAGGGGAAAATAATGCTGTGATTCGTGAAGGAAGAAGGTCAGTAGGAACTGAGAGTCGCAGGGTAGGTAGGACACTGTCAGGAAGTTCTCCACCCTTGGGAAGTTTTGCAACATCAAAAGTTGCTCCGGCTGAGGTGAATGTGGGCACTGATGGGGCCACAGCAGTTAGTGAACACAGTGTTAAGAGTGAACTCCGAGATGGTAGAAGAATTCGGAGAGAAGAGTCAAGTAGGAGGAGTGATAAAAACAGTGTTCTGGATGGGCATGAAGAATCGTCACCTGTTCAAGATGGGAATCTTCTGCTCGAGGTTATTTCTAGAAAATCGGAATCTAAAGATAGAAGGAATGAACAGAAGGATAAGCAGGTCAGGGGCTTTCAATTTAAGACACTATCGGAGCAATTGAATTCTGCTCCAATAGATACTGATGATATTGCATCTTCGAGTGCTAATGTATATGGGAGGCGATCCCTGGAGAAAACCATTGACGAACCTGAACCCAGCATCCGTGGAAACTGCAGTGGATTGAATAGGGTTAAAAGGCGAAAATTTCGAGGTACAAGGAGAAGCCGTATGGCTTTACCTTCCAGAGACACTGGGGTTCACAATGAATTGTCTGTTGCTTCTAATACATTAGCTCATGGTTCAGCTCATTCAAAGCATAAAATGGAAGAGGAAAATGAAAATTATGCCAACAAAAATGTCATTGGAGGACCTGGAAATGGGTGTGGTATGCCTTGGAATTGGTCAAGAATTCATCATAGAGGGAAAACGTTTTTAGACATGGCTGGAAGGAGTTTTTCTTGTGGCCTTTCAGATTCAATGTTAAGAAAATGCAGTCCAACTACACGTGGGAGAGGTATTTCTGACACACCCTTAGCGTCTGATCACTCAAGCTCATCTGCAAAATTTGATGCCGAGGCACTGCCTTTACTGGTTGAGGCATCTGGGTCACAGGAAAGCATTGAAAATGCTGGCTGGAAACGAGACTACTCTGGGGAATTGGGAATATTTGCTGATAATTTATTTAAACATGAAGTTGATTCTGACCTTGCTTCAGAAGCAAGGTGTAGTAACCGAAGAAGAATGAGAGGGCACCATCGTTCTAGACATCAAAATCTGACACAAAAATACATGCCACGAACATTCAGAGATTTGGTGGGACAAAATTTAGTAGCCCAAGCGCTTTCAAATGCTGTCTTGAAGAAGAAGGTTGGGTTGCTGTATGTGTTTTATGGTCCTCACGGTACAGGAAAAACATCCTGTGCTCGAATCTTTGCTAGAGCATTGAACTGCCAGTCTTTGGAACATTCCAAACCCTGTGGATTATGCAATTCTTGCATTGGATATGACGTGGGAAAGAGCAGGAATATAAGGGAAGTTGTTCCTGTCAGTAATCTCGACTTTGAGAGCATTATGGAACTACTTGACCATATGATAGCTTCTCAGCTTCCATCACAGTATACAGTGTTCATTTTTGATGATTGTGACAGCTTTTCCTCCAATTGCTGGAGTGCCATCACAAAGGTCATTGACCGAGCACCCAGACGTCTAGTTTTTGTCCTTGTCTGTTCAAGTCTTGATGTTTTACCTCATATAATCATATCCAGGTGTCAGAAATTCTTTTTTCCCAAGCTGAAGGATGCTGATGTTATCCATACTTTACAGTGGATTGCAACCCAAGAAAATTTAGAAATTGACAGAGATGCACTAAAACTTATCGCATCAAGATCTGATGGATCATTGAGGGATGCTGAAATGACTCTTGAGCAGCTGAGTTTGCTTGGACAGAGAATTTCTGTTCCTCTAATTCAGGAATTGGTGAGTTATATATTTTAATTCCAAAGAGTGCAAGAGTTAGGTTCAAACTTTTCAGAGGCTACTATTTCATGCCTTGACACTAGTGATTGAAAATTTTCTGCCTAATTTGAAGTTTGAAATGAAATTTTTGCGAGAGCGAAAGTGATCTTGGGCTGGTAATTCTTGAGTTGTTTTATTTTTTAGTTCTTGACTTGTTTGTTGTTGTAAAAGAATGCAAACCTAAATGTGTTCTTTCACCCTCATATTTGCTTTTAAGAACCCCATACGAATATTCATTCTGGTTTATTAAAAACTTGAATCTGCTACATGGTGCACGTGGAACACGCAGCTTATAATTTTAATCATCATTGTTTAGTTGCCTTACAGTCTTAATAATGTTCTTATCGTTTAAATTCTTAAACTTGAATCTGCTACATGGTGCACGTGGAACACGCATCTTATAATTTTAATCATCATTGTTTAGTTGCCTTACAGTCTTAATAATGTTCTTATTGTTTAAATTCTTATATTTCTACGTACCCAATTTCTTTCCAGGTTGGGCTCATCTCTGACGAAAAATTGGTGGATCTTCTTGACCTAGCTCTGTCTGCAGACACAGTAAACACTGTGAAAAATTTGAGATTGATAATTGAAAGTGGTGTGGAACCAATGGCCTTGATGTCACAAATTGCAACTGTAATTACCGATATTCTTGCTGGTAGTTACGATTTCAAGAAAGAAAGGCCTCGGAGGAAGTTTTTCCGACGTCAGCCATGTAAGTCAAAGAACATTTACATAATTTGTGATGACTTCGTTTTGAGTAAAATTAAATTTAGGTGGTTCATGTGCTTTCCTATTTTAAATGTGAAGGACCTTCATTAATCCAGTTCACCTGTAACTTTATTATTGAAGCATTTTTCTTTCCTTCGATGCATTATGGTTCTTGGTTCTTTTTCAAATTTAGTGTTGCTTATGTTAAGCTTTTACATCTGGAACTTTGCGCCATCTCTTGCTGCCTTTCATTGGTTTCAATTAATTAATTAACTAGTTCAAGTCTTTATTTTTTAAAATGACCACAATTGGAGTTGAACTTGCACACTAGAGGATGACGGTCTGCTTACGAAGCCAACAACCCAAGCAACATTATTATTATTATTATTTTTTCTAGTTCAAGTCTTTATCATCTATCAAACTGACGATGCACTTTCCTTTTGCGTTTTAGTATCCAAAGAAGATATGGAAAAGCTACGTCAAGCTCTGAAAACACTATCTGAAGCTGAGAAGCAATTGAGAATGTCTAATGATAAATTAACCTGGCTTACAGCTGCATTACTTCAACTTGCTCCTGATCAGCAGTATATGTTGTCCAGTTCTGCTGACACTAGCTTTAATCACAGTCCCTTAGCCTTGAATAATGTGAATGGAAGGGGTGTATCAAGGAACACTGACCAGCATGTTGAAGTACCTGGTAGTGGGAAAGGATTGTCAACAGATGTTAAGTTTTCTGGTCATTATGATTCATATGACAATAGAGTGGCCAAAGGCATTAGTTTAGACAGAAAAAAACATACTGGAGTTGGCGTGGCTCCTCAGCAGACAATTGCAAGCTCTGATGATATAATCAAGTCTAGTGGAAAGCAGGTTTCTGGTAAAACTCATAAAGACACTGAAGAAATTTGGTTGGAGGTGCTAGGAAAAATTCGGATAAATAGTATTAAAGAATTTTTGATTCAAGAAGGGAAGCTTGCATCCGTGAGTTTTGGTGCAGGTACATTTTGTTGCATCCTGTTTGCACATTTTCATGCCCCAATGGTTCACTTCATTTATCAAAAAATATTTATATTTTTCAAAAGTCAATTTTACCGTCAGTATTTGGAAGCATGTTAAAATTTTTTAATGTTAGTATTTGGAAGCGTGTTAAATTTTTTTAATGTTATTCTAACATCTGTAGCCAAGTGTTTTGACTTTTGATTATCTACTATATTTCTTTTGGCAGCACCAACAGTGCGCTTGATATTCAATTCACATCATGCAAAATCAAAAGCAGAGAAGTTGAGAGAGCAAATCTTACAAGCATTTGAATCTGCTCTTGGGTCCTCAGTGATAATTGAAATTAGATGTGAGTTGAAAAGGGAGACTACAGTTGGGAATCATTCGTCGGTTACATTACCTGCCTCCAAGAATGGTTCATTGCAGATTAGGGACTTTAATGGTTATAAGCCTCAAGCTCAGTTATTGCACTATGGCTCCAGTGAGGTTGGAAGAGGTGAAATTGTCGAAATTGATGCTTCACCAAGGGAAACCTATAATGATAAAAGAGAATCAAATGAAAGGAATTTAGAAGGTTCGCAAGGAGAAGTATCAGTCTCACGTAAGAACTCTACCATGTCATCAATTTCAGAAAGAAGGGAAGGCGGAGCTCAAAGTCAGAGTCAAAGTATTGTGAGAAGCAAAGTATCTCTGGCACATGTTATTCAGCAGGCAGAAGGATGTTCACAGCGAAGTGGATGGTCCAAACGCAAAGCTGTATCTATAGCTGAAAAACTTGAGCAGGAGAACTTGTACGTATTGCAATCTCAAAGTTTCAATTCTTCTTGTAGTATGATATTAGGTTCTTGGCAAAGCAAAAAAAAAAAAAAAGAACTCCCATGCTTTCGAGGTTCTTTGGAAAATCAAAACAGTTTTCTATTTTATAGAACAAAAGTTCTTTAAAATGTGTTTTTATTAGACCCTTTTTCTTGTTTTATTTTTTTATGTTATAGTTGACATATTTTAAATCACAAATTTATTATTCCTTCTAACATCATAGATATGAATGTTTTTACTATCACATTAATTTTTAAGAGTAATCTGATCATAATTTTGAAAGCAAAGATGTACAAAAGTCTTTCAAACAGCCTCTTACTTTGCAATCTCAGCATTCAAAAAACCTGTTCATGAAGCTTATGTCTAACTGGCCTTACTGTATAGGCTGTGGCTTTACTTGCATGAGCTTAGTCCTATAAAAGGCTACATATTTAAATTTCGTTTAGAGTGTATGCATCTAAAGCAGTGCGCTTAGCAACATGAGGTAGATTATAGGCTGTTAAAGAAAATATTTCTCATGTCAGGAAAAGATATGAAAGGTTACCGAAATTTATATAGGTTTAAGAGCATAATTCATTGAATATAGAAAACGAAATTGCATGACACACACTAAATAAGTTTACTCGAATAATGAAGTTCAGAAATATATACATGACCAAAAAGGGACCTCTAAATAATTCAGAGAGGGGTGATATTAGCCATTATAATTTACAAGCTCCTACAGTCCAATCCTATGTACAACAGAGAACTGTTAACTGTTAAGGATACAGATTCTTTTAGTTTTTCTCTCTCGCTCGTTCGGGAGTTTGTATCTTTGAACAATTTTTGTTCCTTTTCATACTTTCAATGAAAAGTTCGTATCTTGTTAAAAGAAAAACTGTTAAGGATACACCGCGTGGCTTATATGATTATATTGAAGCTAATGTGGATGCCTTTTTATTACTCAAAATTGCAAAGATATGGAAATTAGTTTCTACATGTGCTGAGTTTCTCTTTGTTAAGCATAATATATTTCCATTTTTTGTTTCTATATTTCTTTTGAAGCCGATTTTATTAATTGACCTTGATGATAAGGTTTGCTTCCTTATGTTTCACAAAATTTTATCGACTTTCAAATTTCTAAACTTCTTTCTTCTCTTCTTATTTTTAACATTTTGTGCAGGCGACTTGAACCACAATCAAGAAGCTTGTTATGTTGGAAAGCATCTAGAGTAACTCGAAGAAAGGTAGGTCAAGAAAGAGATTTAATAGAACTTATAAATGGATTTTTTCAGTCTTGATATCACAGTGTTTCTTTGAGAAAATGCACAACTCAATTTTTTTCCTCAATAGAATAGGATATTAACTCTGCTAGGATGGATGTCTTTCATTCATTTCCTTTGGTGGAAGACATCATTTTACAATTTCTCATTTCTGTTACTTATTTCAAGGCACTGATCATAGTAGAGTGAGGCCACATAACGATACAAATGTTTGTCATAAATCTCAAGAAACCATTTTCATGATTTTTTGTTCGCGGTCTTGTGTTTTGTCCTTGCTTAATGGAGATAATATATTAGAGCAATTTTGGTGTTGACTGTCATATTTCCAAAGCCATACAGTAGCATCAATGTTTTCTCAGGGAAAAGATAAATTGAGGAAAATAATATCCATCAGATGTTGTTTGGTAATAGTTGGATGATGGAGGGTATTCTATATACTAGTATCTTCCACTTTCTCTTGTCTGGGCCTGGAAATTCTAACTATTTTTTATATTCATCATATATGACAGCGTCTTTCTTATGCGTATATATCACTATTTACATAACTCAGTTTGGCTTGAGCAGGTTGATTGTCAAAACTGATCCGTTAATAAGTATTTCAAAACCATTCAGAGGAAAATGAGCTAATTATGCTAATCTCTCCATCCGTGTGATTAGTAATTTTATAGTTAAACAAGGTTTCTGTTTGATGATAATGAAGCATGTTGTATCACTTTGGTCACTTTACTGTTATTTAGCTTCAATATTGAGAACCCAACATTTTGACTAAATTTTAGAAAATTGAGCAAGAGTCCTTGTTTCTCTTTGAGGAGGTTATAATCGTATGCTCAATGCAGTTGTCCTATTTGTTGTTTATTGCTAGGACAGTCCCATGACCTTTTGCCTTTCATGACCGTTATTCCCAGGTTCTGGTTCTGTGTATAAGTTGCAGTCAATATGTGGTATTAATAATAGCAAATAATGCCTATTTTCTGTCGCTTCTGTTAAAAATGTACTTATTGACAATTTCCTGTGCAGCTCTCACGTTTAAAAATTAGAACTCGGAGGCCACAGTCATTGCTGAAACTTGTCTCCTGTGGGAAATGTCTCTCTGCTTAGTTGGCAAGGTAATAATTCCAGCCGGAAAGGAAGAAGAGGGAGAATTGTTTTGGGGATTGATTAACTTCGTTTTTTCTTTTAGTTGTATTTAGTTTTTTTTTTTTTTTTGGCCCCATGTTGATTACTAGGCTGATTTTTATCTGTGAATTCATTTTTATGAAATCTATTAATTTTTCATGGTAAAAATAGGAGAGGATTATAGAATGCAGTCCTCATTTGCTTGATCTTTGCCCCCTCAAATTCAATTTCCGCCTTGTAAGATTAGTTCTTTTGAGATTTACGATACACTTCTAACTTCACTTCCACAGTAATCAGTATCTTGAAAGCATTTAACAGAGTGACATCAGATTTCATTGAAATTGTATCTGATATTTGTATTCAAATGTTTAAGGACTTCTATTTCTAAAATCTGTGTCACTTGAATAATTGTTAGGGAATGCATGAATTTTCCCTTCCAACCTTTTTCAGACACCTCTGCAATTAGAAGAGGTCATGGAGGATTGATAGGTTACCAACTTACTTTCTGAGGCCTCGTGGATTCTTCCTTTATGCATCTAGATGTAGTAATGCATCTGAGTTACAGATCTAATTGTTGATGTCAATCTCGTATTTTTCCTTTCTACATTTGGATCTGGCAACACTGTCTGTCCACGTAGAAAGCTAATTATTGACGTAAATTTCATATTATCAGCTTTGGAGTGAGCTTGAGTCTGGAGAATTGATAGATGAAGTAAAAAAGATACTTCTGTTGATGTACAGCTAGCTTTTCTTGCCCTCGTCCCCTCCTAACAGTTTAGTGCAGGTTTCACTCTCAATCCATCTTCCTCTGGATGAGAGGCTGCTTTCCTCATCATGTCAAACTGGTGCCCCAGCTTACCCTTTAACATAATGAATGCTGAAGATGTTTTTATCTCCAGGAATCAATTAATATGATGATGCAGGAGAACGTGGGGAAGTTAGGCTTTCTTCCAGGGCATTTTCACAGAATACGCAAGTAGTTCATACTTACTCATATTTACTTTTTCCTTTGCGGAATATTAAGCTGCAATTTTGTACCTTCTATGCATGAAAACTGCTGCTTTTAGCTATATAAACAAAGCTTCTCTGCTGCTTTATACAGTTCCTGACCGTTGAAGTTCCCCTAAGTCGAAGGCCTTTAAACATCATGACTCCATTCTCCTGTTAAGTGAGGGGGAAAGAATCAGTGAACCAGAACAATTTTTCAAAATTTTCATAGTAGAATTTAAGATAACTTCCTTACTCTTTAACAATATAAAATAATAATAACAATAGTAATAACAGAGGAAGAGTGGGCACCAGAAGTTCCAACTTCCAACTTCCAACTTCCAACTTAGACTGATATGAAATTGTCTACTACCTTTTCATCTAAACTTGCCTTATTCCATAAATGCTTCTTCTCACCAACATAATATCTGTTGTTTGCTAGTTGTTTATATTTCTATTTGCTGTATTCTGTTACCCATAAAGCGAAACAGCCTAATTAGAACCAAGGTTATGATTATGAAACAGTTGAATTGAATCATTCCTCTTCATTTGCTAAACTCACTTTCTCAAAAGCTGTCTACACATAATCTGCAAGAAGCTCACAGCACTTGTTGGGTGAAGCTGAAAAGTAATGGTCAAACTGTCTCTCCATCTATATAGCCTCTGAGGCAACGTAGGTTGGACAGTTTCAACAAATGCACGTCCATTATATTGTCCACACAACCAGACTTGTACACTCCAACAGATGGAAATTCATTCATGTGGAAGCGCCCACACATGGATATTTGTCTTCTATCATTATAAATTTGTGAACAGTAACTTTATGTATTTGGAAACTCTCTCACCAACCACTCAAAGTAGCTATTAGAAACATTCTAGATCACTGTTCTTGATAGGAGAAACCCAGAGTCCAATGGAGCCACTGTCCATTTTAGGCCCAAAAAAGGTTTGTGATCTCCATGGGAAATTTACAGGTCTTTGGTTACCCAGTCAGCTTGCTGGACCACTTGCATTCGGCTTTTGACTAAAGGCAAAAGTCGGAAAATCTAGAAGCGAAGGAAAAAGCAATAAAGCAGAAAGACAGGAAACTCAATAAAATTCCATCACTAAAGCTTGACAAGGAATTCCCAAAACTAGAACCAAGGCCCTCTCCATGTTGAATGTTTGATATGTGACGTTAAATGTAGTAAAGAAACCCCATTTTTTCTCCCTGGTGTGTCTGTCCGACAGGTGTTTGTGATAATGACAGAGCCGATTCTTGTACGTTCTGTAAATTAGAGCCTATTTGCTCTAGCCAAGCCGAAAAAAATAAAGAAATGGGCTTTTTTTTTTCTTTTTCTTTTTTATTTTTGCCCCATGTTTGTTCTTTTGTTCCTAATTTCTTTCTAATTCTTTGTTAGGTTGAGAACCATCCACAAAGTGATAAAAAGTGAGCAAGTGGTCACAGGATTTATGGCGGGTCTTTCTTTTGAAAAAAATAGCAAAAAGACCAATATGAAACCCACGTTCCTACTTAACAGCTTAACTGTCTCAATAACTGCTACCATCTTCTCTCTGCCATTATCTTCTCCGGAATCACTTTCTTCTTCGATGTTCCATAGCCCAAAAACTTTTCTAACGTAAGAAACCTTTTTTTTTTGTTCCAATTGAACGGAAACCTATCTTCCTCTGTTGAAATTATGAAATGGGGTAGGAGAAAACCGCATAATCCTTCATCTTCTTCCTCCACTTCTTCTTCTTCTTCCTCTAGGCCTTCTTTTATGTCTAATATCTTGCCTGCTTCGTGGCTCTCAAAGCTCAAGCAAAAGAAAAGCAACCAAGAAGCCAGACCCAGAAAAGTAAAGGGAATTGAGAAGAGAAATTCTCCTTGCTTTCAATCACCTGATTTTGCAAATCGGACCGACTCGCCAGATCACGCAAATGGGAATCGCAGTCAATTCTGTAGAGATAATGGTGATTTTTGGAAGCTATCCTTTGGAGAAGATGATTTTGATGTCAGGAAGAGTGGAGGGATTTTGAGGTCGGTGAGGTACAACTCAGAGGACGAGCATGAGCTTCCACGTACAAGTTGTAGGAGCTGCAGATCAAAATGTACAGAATTTGAAGGAAAGGAGGAGATTCAGAATTTGGAGGACATGGTTTCGAGAATGACAAGGAGAAGGAGGAGGAGAGAGGGTCCAACCCAAGAGAAGATTTTGCGAAGGGAGAATGAAATTGAATCAAGAACTCCGAGGATCAGACACAGAGAAAATGGCAACTTCAAGAATTTGGGTAAAAAACTGGTGGAGAAGAAGGGGTTTAAACCACAGAGCGAGATAGATAAAGCAAAGGAGAGAGCAGGAAAATCAGTGGGAAAGAAAATGTTGGAGCTGCAAGAAGAATCTGGAGTTCGGACAAGTGGGAGAGACAGAACCAAATTGAAAAGTTCAAGGAAGCATCAGTATGTTCAATCCACCAAGTCAAAAAGTTTCGGTTTAGGAACTATAGAAGAAAACTGTGTATTTTCTTCTATGAAGGCAGAGGAAAGTGATGAACTTGACATGCTGGGTATTGAAATTGATTCAGACTGGGAAAGGATGAAAGGGTTGAAGATTGAAGAATTGAAGTCAAGATATGAGAGACAGAGAAAATCAATGTACTTAAGGAAGGACTCAAATGAGAAAAATCCAAAAGGCAGAAGAAAAATCAGAGTTTACTCTCCTAGAACAGCCACTAAAATTGAGATCTGCAAAATCAAAGCATTGGAAGATATGAAGAAAGCCAAGTTAAAGATGAAGAAGAAGATAAGAGAGAGCACGGTAGAGGATGAGACCGACTTGGAGAGCTTTGCAGTCGTGAAATCTTCATTCGACCCACAGCAAGACTTCCGAGACTCGATGGTTGAGATGATCATGGAGAGAAGGATCAGTAAAGCAGAAGAGCTTGAAGAACTGTTGGCTTGTTATCTCACATTGAATTCCGATCAATATCATGATCTCATCATCAAGGTATTTAGGCAAGTATGGTTCGATCTAAATCAGGCTTCTTTAGATTCTGAATTACATAAGCAATTCCCTTGTAATGAACAACTTGTTTAGCCAGTTACAGACAAATGTAGAACTTTTATCTGTTGAAAACATCTTAGTTTATAAACATTACTAGCCCTTGTTCTTTCTAATAAACTCCAAAAATGTAATGTTGAATTACTGTTTTTCTTTTACATTTCTCCATGCTCATTATTTCCTGTGCTTATGAATTAAAATTGTCCCTGGTCTCGAAGTGTAACTCCGGAATTTCATCTTTTTGTGTCCTTGATATGAGGAACGAGAGAGCTACGCTACAGAAAGTGAACCGTTCTACGAGTGTAAGACAGGATCGTCTTGAAATAGACAAACTCAGAAACCCTTTCCATTTCCTTAAGAAGCAAAGTTCTGAGTTTTTGTAATTGAAGAAGAGAAAGCTGCTGTTTCAATCCCATTGTAGAATATGGCATCTGGGGTCCAATTGAACAGACCATCTGGCTATAAACAGTGTCAAATATTTAAAACCTGGCAATCCTCAGTGAAGAAATTGGAGCCAAGTTGGGGATTTGGCTGCCAGAGTTGCCAAAACGTTAAAAGATTGCTGCTACAGACAGTAAAGGACAATAAATTGAAGCAAATGGGGGCATGGTACAAATAATTATCATTAAAGTTTGAGTAAAAAATTGAAACGTTGGTCCAATAATTGTCATAAATAAACGACTTTGTTGAAAAAACAAGCAAACCATAAACGATGTGTTGCTGCGGCGGATGTGGCTGTGGAGTTGCCTACTGCCTCAGCTTATAGAATTCCAGAGAAAAATAACAAAAAAGGAAAACTTAGGGGAAAGCTGACTAGACAATATTCATTTTAACAGTACAATAATATTTTTTCTTTATTGAAAAGACAGGACAACTAATCTCAATTTTATTATCTTCAAATAAAAGGGTAGCTAATTATTTTTCGTTAAATTAGTTCGAATCGATCCACACACCTAGATTTTGGTTTAGTTTTTTCTAATCTTGGTTTTTGTTGTGTTTTGAAAATAAATCAAAAGTCATGCCAGTTTTAGATGACTTGAAAATGGAATTCTATTGGAGAGAGAATTGTCCTCTATAAAAATTTGAACCATAATTTTGTGTATGAAATTTTAATTTATGTACTTTTGCATGAAATTATGTAAACATTGTTTTTCTGTCCGAAAAACTTAATTCATGATTAATATTTTTTTTGTACAACAACTAAATGTTTAATGAAGGAACAAGTTTGAAAAAAAAAAAAATATATATATATATATATATAT